GCGTGCTGTTGGGGTGTAGCCCTGAGTCTGGATGTCTTTAGATTAACACCTTTATTCCATGTTATTCAACAGGAAACAAAGCTTAGCAGGAGAGGAGAGCCAGAGAAAGGACAGGGAAGCTGCAGGTTACCACAGTTTGAACTCAGCCAAATCACAGTGGTGGCAGGGGGTAGCTGCTACATGAAGACATGTGTTAGCCACTCTCCTTGCAAACACAAGGACTGTATTTGTGACTCGTACTCCAGGTTATTTTAGTTTCTGTGCCGTGGCCATGCGAAGCGCTCCACCGAGGGCTCTGGGGACTCACTGTCCGTTTCCGCGCCCATGCCGTCGATTTGCAAACTGTAATAGACTGATCATGACGCTGAATAAATGTGTCTTCTTTTTTACCTGTGCCGTGTAAGGGAGTGTGATGTGAGCCCCTGCCGTGCCCTCGTAGCCATCACCTGCTGGTGACAGACTAGGCCTAGCTCAGACCGAGGGGGCTCCGCTATACTGGAGTGCCAGCATGGGCGGCAGTGGGTCCAGTGCAGCTCCTAGCATGAGACTCCCCTTCCCTTCTCTTCCCTCCCCCGGAGCTGTAATGTAGGAGCTGTCCTCGGCCAAGATGCCTGCTAGTGTAGCCGGATCAGAGTCCCTTGCAGCCCCCACGCAGCCTGACACCAGGCATGATGGCTTCATGACTCAGTGCTGGGACCTGACATGCAGGGCCTAGGACCAGTCAGTTCAGGAGCTAGGGCTGCGATCAGTCCCTGCCCGCTCCCCAGCTATCCCAGGAGCAGGGAGATCGTGGCTTGTGGCATGATGGCCCTAGTTCATGGGCGCTGTTCAAGACCAGTGTTGCCCTGGCAGCCTCAGGGCTCTGGAAGGGAGCAGCCCCTTAGCTGGTCTCCAATCCCACAATCCAGGTGGTGAAGGGAGCAGAGCACGGCCAGGGCAATGTGGAAACAGGGCTGGCTTTGACCAGGGCTGTTTGGTGGCCAGGCTGGAGTATGTGTCCTGCCCCTCTGCTCAGGCAGCTGGCACCAGTCTCACCTTGGGGGTATTGGGAGACAGTTGGCATGAGATATTGGATCAACTTGTAGCTTGTGCTGGAAAAGCGAGGCAAGCCAGACTTGGGTGGTGTAGGGGTGGGTTGCAGGCAGAGCTGGGGCTGGCACTGGGTAATCAGCAAGGACTGTGGCCCAGGCAGCTCCCTCAGCTGGACAGCGACAGCCCACCTGCAGTGGCAGCCCCTTATAGTTGCTTTGAGGTAGTATTGCTGTACTGGGAACTCTGGTCTTGCTGGTGGGTGACGATGCATTGGCCTGTTTAAACAGAGCTACAGGCTGGAGAGCTGGCGACCCAGCTGAGAGACCCTCACTTGGCAGTTCCAGTAGCAAAACAGGCTCATGGGGGTGGGGGGGCTCCTAGTCCTTCCCTTGTACTGGTGGGCCCAGTTGAACGGCCTTGGCCCTCTGTAGAGCGCCTGGCCCTGTGTAACCTGTTTGCAGCAGACCCATCTCTAACCTCCCGTGGACCATGGGGGGGTTAGTCCGTGGCTGAGTTGACGCTGGCTAACGTTGAGGACATGGTAGCGTGCGACCGCAGAGGAAGGCAAGCGACAAGGAGCCGTAGCTTACAGCCCAGGAGATGCAGATGTAGAGCGGCTAGCAAGCATAGCACCATGGCGTCGAGGCAGCCCGCAGCGCAGACAGCTAGAGCCTTGTGTACAGATAAGCCAGGGGCAGACGCCCGTAGAGGCAGTGGCTATGAGTGACCGGCGGAGGCAGCCCCTTGCTCTTAGGACTAGCAGGGTTTGTTACTGTGCTGCTAGGTAAGAACAGCTCTTCCTTCCCTCCCCGGGGGTTCGCCACTTCGGCTGCAGCTCCTGGACGGATGCCGCCAGCTCCCTGGGTCACGGGCTGCTCTGCGCCCCCCTGGCCCCCTGCATTAGTCTTGCTGCTGTTCCTCAAGCTGCTTCTTGTTAACGACTTGCTTAGTGCAGAGTCTGAACCTGAGCCTTCCCATCCCCCCCGCCCTGGCCGTGCCTTTGGGGTGCACTAATTGGCTGCCAGCTAATGAGAAGTTCCCGGGTGGGGGCAAGGGGGTGGTGCTGTATGTCTGGGACTGTTGATCTAATGCATGCATCTGCTTTTCAGGAGCTGCTGCCCTACCCACTGAGCCAGAGGACTCCACACAGCTGACGGCTGCTTTCCCAGGTGAGCAGGTACTGGGCCCGTTGGCAGGGTAGTGCTGTGGTAGCGGGCACCACGTGGCTCATGCAGTTGTGGCCCTGCCTGGTTCCTGACATCTCTCCTCTCTTGCAGGTGGCCAGAAACCCAGGTGTCCGGGTCCCGTGGCTGCTGTGTAGCTGTGTCGGATCATCCCTATGGGAATAGTTCTTATTTTAAATAAAGTCTCCTTTTTTAGAAATCCTGTGGCCTGAGCCTGTGTGTCATGGGGCTGGGCACTGTGGCAGCCTAGTTGCCCACCACCGATGGCCCAGGTTGGCTGAGTGCAGCCTTCCTGGCTCCTGGGGCCTTTCCCGCAGCCTGGCAACCCTCTGGGCATCTTGGCTTGCAGCTTCTGCCCAGAGCTGTCAGCACAGGCATGTACCTGGTGCTTCACAGATGCCCCTGCCCAGAGGGAGACCTGGCCCCCCCTGTCTCCCACCCCAGCTCTCTTCTCCCTTCCAGTCTCGGGGTGGCGTCCACAGGCTTGGAACTCTGCTCTGATTTTCCCGGCCTCCTGGTGCACAGCCTGGGACCTGCCATCATGGCTATATCGCTCTTTGCCTTTGCAAATGTGCTGCCCTGGCCTAGCAGGGTGGAGCTCAGGCCCTGGTGGCCAGAGCTGGGAGCCCCGTTCTTTTCTTCCTTTCTTCTTCTTCTTCTTCTTCTTTTTTTTTTTTAAGTAAAATTTTTTTGTGTTCCAAGCCGAATCAATGAGTGATGCAAGAACCACATGTCCTGCAACCGGCAGACACGCTCCACCCCTACCTAGGCCTTCAAATGTTTCCAAATCATTTGGCAGGCATCCTACATGCAAGCCTAAGCCTGGAGGCTTGGGGCTCAGATGCCCCCAAGTTTCACTTGCCCTCAGCTGTACGGCTGCAAGAGCAAGCGAGGGAGAAGTCTCCCGTTTCCACAAAGTGCACAAAAAGCCAAGATCTTCTCACAGGCAATGAGGGGGGGTAACTACATGTTCCCTCTGTGGGTACTACCCCATGCCGGGAAAGTGATTATCCCTTGTCCTGCGGAAAACCGCCTTAGCTGATAATGGCGGTTCCCCTGCCAGGTAAGCTAGGAGCCCTGCTGAGCAGGGGTCTGGTGAGGTGGGAATAAGTAGGAGCCCCATCCATGCTGGGACGGGCCCTAGCCTGCCTCCCCTGCAATGACAGACAGACACACAGTGATGGCTTTCCAGTGGCCCCTAGCAAGGGCTTTATTCCCAGCTGTGGGACAGTTACTATTTACAGCAGTGAAAAGTTGCTGGTGCCCCCACCCCATCCTGTGCCCCATGTGGCCCTGCTCCCATTATGCTCTGTCCCCAGTGACCCCCCCCCATGTTGCCTTCCCCTTGTCACAGCCCCCCCCATCCCCCCCCAAACAGTGCTCAGGGTGGACAAGGCAGTGGGCTGGGGGCCCTCCTGCTGCCTGGCCAGAGGGGTAACAGAGGCAGGGGCCCTCTTAGGCCTCAAGTCTGGGGTGTTGCCATGTAATGCCCCCTCCCACCTTCAGGCCTCTGGGACTTGGAGTGCAGTGCATTAACAGCCCCCCCCTGCCCCCCAAGAAGCTCAGCAGTGCAACACATCAATGTGCCCCCAGAGGTGCAATGTACTTAAGCCCCTATTGGGCCCAGCCTCAGGGGAGCCTCTCTGTAGCCCATCCGTGCTTGATGCCCCCCCAGTGTCCCCCTTGGCAGAGTGGGGCAGAAGGCTGCTGTTTGAAGGGCACTCCACAAATGGGAGGGATACTACAGCCAGGGGGTGCCCCCGTGAAGGGGCTGCAAGCCTGGAGTGGGGGGACGCCCTCAGTCAGGTCCATCCGCCTTGCACCCGCGGGGCACAAGGAGCACAGTGCCGTCGGCCGCCAGCTGTAGGCTGTAGTGCTCGGGCGAGTAGGCTTCACCGGCTTCATCCCGCAGGCGCTGGAAGACCTGGCGGTAGAGCTGGGCCAGCTGGCGCCGCAGCGTGCCGAGCGCCTGGTCGGCCTCACGCCGGTCCCGCAGCAACCGCTGGCGCTCATGGTCCAGGCGCTCCAGCTCGTGCTCCAGCTGGGCGATGCCTTCCAGCTTGCGGCGCCGGCAGTTCTGCGCTGCCACCTTGTTCTTGCCGCGGCGCCGGATGTCCCGGATCAGCGCCAGCTGCGGCTCCGACAGCGGGTGCCGCGATACCAGCTCATTGAAGTCCTCCACTGGCAGGTTGATGATCTTCTCCGTGGGGATGGGGATGTTCATGGCCAGCGCCCGCCGCTCATCCCGGCTGCCCCCCAGCTCTGCTCGCGGCGTCCCCCGGTCCTTCTCTGGGGGTGGCAGGGGCGGGCAGGGGGGTGTAAAGGGGGGCACACCCTGCAACCCAGGGTAGGGCAACCCGTAGTCCACCGGGTACAGCTCAGCGTAGTCGGGCCGTGCCTGTCCCAGCTCCAGCCCTTCGGGCTCCCCGGAGTCAGCGTCGCTGTAGTTGAGAGAGAGCCCCGAGTCCGACTCCAGGTCTTCCTGGGCTTTGCAGGGCGGTGGGGGTGCCAGGCCCAGCTCAGGCAGCGCCCCCGCCTCTCCAGGCAGCACCTTGCTGGGTAGGTCCATAGCGGAGGAGATCAGCATGCCTGTGTAGCCGTACGAGGGGTCCATGGCAGGCAGGGGCCCCATGCCAAGGCGGGCGCAGGGGGCCAGCATGGCATCCATGTAGGGGCGCTCATAGCCCGGGCAGGGCTGGCCACAGCTGGGCCCCGGGGCATCACCCAGTGCTGGGCAGGGCCCGTAGCCACCCACCGGTGCTAGCGGGTGCGTGAGGCTGTAGAGCGCGGGGTCATAGGGCGACTCACTCGGGAGGTCCAGGCCCTGCAGGGAGTCAGAGGGGAGAGGTAGCTAGGGAAACTGAGGCATGGGGTGAGAGAGACGTGCCCACACGCGGGGTCAAGGTCAGTGGCAGAGTCGGGAACAGAGCCCAGGAGCCCGCGCCCCCCCCGCCACCGCCGGGTGTGGAGAGGACCGGGCTAGCTGGAAAGGGGCGGGGGGGTGGCGGGGAAGGGCCCCGCCGCTGCGGCAGGTGCCTGCCCTGCGCGATGGCCAGGGCGATACCATCCCCCCGAGCACAATGGGGCCGATTCACGGCACAGACAGATGCCCCTTTGTGTGCTGGCCCCGCTGCCCGCCCCGGCCTCTGCCAGACAAGGGTGGGGGGGGCAGGTGAGCAGAGCGGGGAGGATTAAAGAGCCAGCGGCTTGGAGCGCCCCCCTTCTCCCCCACCCATCCCTTAGCCCTGCTGGGGAGGGGGCTGTACCCCCAGCTCCCCAGGGATGTCACCCGCTACAGCCCCATCTCTGCCATGGGCACCTGGCCGCCAGGGGGCAGCACCAAGCGCACCCCACCAGGCTGCAGGGGCAGGAGCCCACAACCTGCCCTGTGGGCCATGCCCGCAGCAGACAGTGGCACCTGCCGTCCGTGGGCCCAGCAGGAGCTGGCTCCCCCTGCTCTAGAACAGCTCCATTGTCTCCCATCCACGTAGTAAACAAGGCCAGCCCTGCTTAGCTTCCAGGTCCAGCCAGGAGCCCAGCAGGGTGGAGGGGAGGGCAATGGGCATCGGTGCCTTGGGTGCGGGCAGTGCCGCTCACCTGCAGCTCCGCAATGGACAGGATCTCCTGCCAGGCCAGGTCCATGTCGCCCGGCGGCCCGTGCTCACCCCCCAGGGGCCCGGACAGGAGTGGGGCCCGGGCCCGGCCCTGCTGTGGAGGGCAGGGGGGCATCTTGCTGGGCCAGGCCCTGCCCAGTGGTGGCTCCAGCAGCGTTGCTCCGAAGCCGGCCGTGGCAGCGAAGATCTGCGGCACAGAGAGAGCAAGGATTGGAGAGGCCACTCGGCCTCCCTGCCCCCTGATTGGGGCAGGCAGCATCTACCTGAGCCATCCCTTCTCCTGCTTGGTAGAAGAAGGATCTACCTGAGCCATCTTGCCTGCTGATTGGTGGAAGAAGGATCTACCTGAGCCATCCCATCTCATGATTGGTAGAGGCAGGATCTACCTGAGCCATCCCATCTCCCGACTGGTGGAAGAAGGATCTACGTGAGTCATCCTGCCTGCTGATTGGTGGAAGAAGGATCTCCCTGAGCTATTCTGCCTGCTAATTGGTGGAAGAAAGATCTCCCTAAGCCATCCTGCCCTTTGACTGGTGGAAGAAGGATTTACCTGAGCCAACCCAGCAGCTAATAAGAGAAGACAGACAGACAGATCCATCCCCTCTCTCCCACGTGCTGATTGGTGAGGGTCAGACCCTACCTGAGCCATGCTGCTGGCTGATTGGTACCCAGAAAGGCCACCCCAGTCTCCCTGCATGCTGATTGGTGCCCTGCCCCCCAGCCATAGGGTGCCACCCCAGGTCCCCCCACCCCACCCTGGCACCCCATCCCCCTCACCTCGGCGCCAGCCGGGTCCCTTTGCAGCCGCCCGTCGGCAGAATCAGACATTCATGAGGCCGCGCCGGGCAGCGTCTGCAGCACACGATAGGCCCTTATCAGCCCCGCCATGTGCCTGCCCCCCCCCACACCCACACCCTAGGGATGGAGCCGAACACTGGGGTTGGGGTGCAGATATGGGTCAGGATGCCTGGATTCTGCCCCCAGCATGGCCCAGGCAGAACACCGTGCCTCAGTTTCCCCTCCCGGTGCAAACTGAGGTAGTGGAAGACAAGGAGCAAGGCTGGAGGAGGGGTCTCCTGGTGCCCCCTGCCACCCACAGCCCTGCACCAGCCCCTAGGAGTCAAGTACATAGTTGCACAAGAGCCAACGGTGCCAGGAAGATGCAGAAACTGTCCCTTACCCACCCCAGGGGAACCTCCCCCATCCCCTAGCTCTGCCCACTAGGCCACACGTGGGGCTGAGTCCCCCACCCCCTTGCTCCCTGTGCCCCATGTCCCACCCCCACCCATGTGCATGAAATTGGGGGGCCCTGGACATGGCCCCTCCGCACCCTATCTGACTCTGAAATACCACCCCCACCCATGTGGCGCCCCCTGCTGGTGCCCCCATGCCACACAGTTTGATCCGGCCCCCGCAAAGACTCCCAGTCTGACCCGGGGCTGATCCACTGGGAGCATTGGTGGGTGGGAGCTTCGATTCCTTCCCCCTTGCCTGACCTGGAGCCGAGCTGGCCTGGCACGAAGACCCCGCTGCGGGCACCGCGAGGCCTAGTGGGCAGCGCAGGGGGGCTGGGAGCCCGAACTCCTGGGTTTCTACCCTCCGGCACCAGGAAATGTGGTGCCCAAGGAGTTAAACCCCCCGCCCCACCCGTAGGCCGTTACGGCCCCCGCCCGCCCAGCTTCCCGCTCCCCTTTCGACACCGCGATTGCCCAAGGCCCCAGGGCTTGCACAAGACACAACAGACGCCCCACAGTGCCTGGCTAGGACCCCCCCTTCCAGCATCAGTGCTGCCCAGTGGTTAGGGGTGCCTGATTCCCTGGGGGAGGCTGGCTCCATCCTGCTCTGTGCCTCAGTTTCCCCACCTGTAGCGTGGGGCTGCTGCTGCACTGAGTGGGGTGGTATCGGTGCAGTTGTGGGGTGGGGGTCAGAGGTCTCCCTACCTTGCTCCTAACCCCCAGCCAGGGTCTCTTCCCTCCTCCGCATCCCCTGGTTGGGGAACCAGAGTTGCCCCGCCCATAGGATTCCCCTTCACCCCCAGGTGATCCCTTTGCTCTCTGGGATCGGGGACCGGGGGATGGCAGTGTGGCTAAACTCCTGGGTCCCCTGACATCCCTCTGCCACCCCCCCCACTACGCACCTCTCCAAGCCCAGCCGCAGCGCGAGGAGGATCCCCACCGGCTGGCCACGGTACGGGGCCCAGGACACGCAGCGGAGCCGGGGCTGGGGGGCAGGGCCATGGGCCCGGATGTGCCCTCCCGTGGGGCCGGGGCCAGGCCAGGCTGGGGCTGGGGGGCCCCGGGGAGCGTTTCCCCTCCTGCTTCCCGCTGTTACCAGCCGGAGGCGATGCAGCTGCAGCCGAACCGCAGAGATAGGATGGCCCCCCCCACCTCCCCGCGGGGCCTTATCAGCCTCTGGCACAGCCCAGACCTGCCCCCCGCTCTGCCCCACCCCGCCATGGCACCCAGGCCCTGATACACCCTGTCCCGGCTGTGCTTCCCCCAGAACCAGCTGCATTTGGGCCCTGGGGTTGCTGGGGTGGGGGAGGCATCTAGATGGGGTTGGGGAATCACTGTATGGGGTCTAGGACACATGGCAGTGCCGTCTCTGCCATCCAGCAGGGGGTGGTAACGTGTGAGACCCACCACACCTGTTTTGAGGTCCCTGGGCCAGACTGGGAGGGCACGCAAGGAGCCCTCCAGCAAGGCCTGGAGGAGACTCACCAGGCAGTACGGGGTCTAGGAAACACGGGACAGGGTGCAGTACCTGTGCGGAGGGACATGCTTGCACATGGATGCAGGCTTGCACACGCACACGCCAGCCTGCCCACAATGGGACAGAGTCACCTCTGGGCTAGGAGGGGCCCAGAATGTGGTGCCTTTGCCAGCCTGGGTGCGTGTGCATGCGTGTGCATGCATGTGCATGAGCGTGCATATGTATCGTGCCTATGCACAAGACCTACCTGCTGCCCCACGCCCCCACCCCTGCCCTGGACTCCTGGGTTCCCACCCCCCGGTGTCCCCCAGACATGCCTGGAGAGCCCCAGCCAGACCTCTCTGCACCCCGGGAGCCGAGGGAAGCGGGGGCAGGGACTGGACCCAGGTGCCCGGGGGGTTGATCTGGGGCCCAACTGGAGGTGGGGGGCCTGGACCAGCCCCTGCGCCCCCCCCACCCACCCAGCCCACGGCTCTCAGGTTCCCACACCTGCCGCAGCGTCGGGTGGAACAAAGTCCCCATTGAGAAGCCGCAGGTCTTACCTGCTGGGGTCCCGGGGACGTGGGCACGAAGCCTGGGGGCTCAGGGCACCCCCATGGCGCAGGCGGCAGGGCCGTGGCGGTGGCAGCTGTGGCTGTGTGCCGGCCCCAGGAGGGCGGCGGTTACATAAGCCGGGGCCGCAGCCCGACGCCTCCCCCGCTTGTGGCCACACAGGCACCGGCAGCCACCCCCCTCCACCCTCCCGGCCCTACGGTGGAGGGGTCACAGCAGGGAAATGTGAGCCTGAGGGACATGCATGCCCGTGCACACGACACATGACGGGCGACACACGCACGACACTTCCCCTGTGCACACACACGCGGAGCACACAGTGCCCCGCGTGCACCCATGAACAGCAACGTGCGCTGCACTCGGTCAGACCCCCACAGACATACGCACACCGCACATGGGGCCACACGCGTGTGCATAGGCACACAGCAACACGCACACGGGGACACTGCAACATGACGCACGGGGCCACGTGCACACGGAACAACACATGCAATGCACACAGCGGTATCTCCTTCACACACGTACTCACACACATGCGTGTGCTTACTGACATGCTCCGAGCCCAGGGGGGTCAGGCCCAACGCACAACGTACGTGGATGTGCACGCACGCCTGGTGCACAGCCACGCACGCCTGCTCTGGAAGGCATGTGCGATGGCACAACACAGACTCACACAAGGAGCCCCCGACAATATGGGGACATGTGTGTGACAAGGGGACATCCGCAGAAGCGCTGCACCAACGTGCAAGACACACACGCACACGGACAGGGCTCCACGCAGCGATCCACAGACACTAAAGCAGTGACACATGCGTGCACACACACATGTGCAAACGCACACACATGGCACCAAGCTGGCTCCGAGTCTCCTGGGCCAACTGTAGCACAAAGCTAAGTGTGTCTCCCCCCCTCCCATTGCCCCCCAGGGACTCCCCAGATCACACGTGTGTGTGCACGTGTGTACACTGAACAGGCTGCTTGTGTGCCCCCCGGGGGCAGCATCTGGGGGTGGGGGGGTATGAGGCAGGCACTGGAGACTGCGCCGTTTATGGGAGGATCCCAAATTGGCCCCACCCCCACTGTGGGAGCCAGCCAATGAGCAGGGAAACTGAGGCATGGAGAGGGGACATCCCAGGCCAAGGTCACCGCAGGAGACCAAGAAAGAAAACCCAGGCACCCCGGCTCCCAGCCCTACCCAGGACACCCTGCTCGCCTTTCAGAGCTGAATGCAGAACCCAGGAGTCCAGGACAGTGGTGGCCCAGTCCTGGCCCAGCCTGCTCCGTGCCTCAGTTTCCCCATGGAGGGGGGAAGGGGGGAGGCTGGCATGGTCATGGCGTGGCACTGCCCCTCCAACCACCCACTGCCCCAGATTCTGGGCCTCTTGGTGCTCATGAGCACGAGCACTTGCATGCCCAGCACACTGCAGAGCTGGGGTGGAACCCAGGCATCCGGGCATTGAAGAAGGGACCCCGAAGCTGGCCGGGGGGAGACCTGGGGCAGGTGGGGCCAAGCCTGGGCCCTTTCCCCACTCCCGCCAGCAGCAACAAAAGCCCCTTTATGGGCCTTAAAGGTACAGGCCCAGCCCCGAGTTGTGCCGGGAACACACGCTGGAAGCAGGGTGGGCACATGCCTATGACACATCACGCATGGGGAACCTGGCCTGGAGCACACCAGGAACGCCAGGGCTGCACACACCTGTAACATGCCACTCCCAGGTTACTGGCTCCTCGTGCACCCACAGCACACGCGACATGGGAGTGCAGCTCAGAACGTACATGGGCACGTCAGGGCCGCACACGTCTGCAACACACACCACACGCTTAGCATGTGCGTGTCCCACGCTCCGCCTGTCTCCCGCCGGGCAAACCGGGGGTAAATCTGTGCCAGTCACTGCAGGGGAGGCACAAAACACACTAGTGGCACGTGGCCACATGTCCGCAGCTCTGGCCACGGGGCCACACTGAGCTGCAACAAGACCCAGCCCCGTGCTCTGACTTATGCTGGCACTGAGAGCACATACGTATTGCATGCGCAGGCCATGCATGTGGCAGGCGACACGCGTGGGCACGGGCTCTCTTGTGCCCCCGGGGCTCCTGGGCCAGGCTCCAGCTGGTCGCCGCCCCCCGCCCCTTGCCCCGCGGCCGTTACTGCGGTTTCCCTCCCACCTCCGGCGCCTGGTGCCAGATGGACCATTTATAACCAGCACCCAGCGCCCCCCCGCCCGCCTGGCCATGCTGGGCTCTGGCAGGGCTGGAGGCAGGGGCTGAGCTGGGCCCCCGGCACTGCGAGCGCCCCTGGTGTTGTGTGTGGCGAAGCAGCCACCTGCCCACCCCAGAGGTGGCTGCATTCCCAGGCCTGGGAGGCACCGATCCTGGCAGAGCTCCTCACCAGGGCAGGTGCGCGGAGGGCAGCTAGGCTGAGAGCAGAGCCCACTGCCCCGGAGCCAGGCTGTCACGGGGGGAAGGAGGGGCTGGGCAGGCGGGGGCCGCCCGCTTATCAGCACCACGCAGCGGATCCGCCCAGCAGCTTCCTCTGCAACTGGCGGGGCCTCGGGCGCTTCCCCCGGCCCCAGCACTTCCCTCCTGAGGAACCCAGGCGTCCGGGCCCCCCCTCTCCTACCCCCCTCAACCCCACTCCCTGCCCTGAGCTGGGGAAAGAAGCCAGCCCCACTGGGATAGGACCCAGGTGTCCTCCACCAAGTCCCTGCTCTACCCACTGGTCCCAGCTGCCCCCCCCCAGACTCCAAGTTTCCCCCTGGCTCGCGCCCACCGCCGCAGGGTCCGGGGAGTCACACACGCACGTGTGCACATGTGCCAGTGCCAGGTAGGGGGGCTCCAAGTGTCTCCAGATGCCTGGCAGCAGGCAGCAGATGGCATCTCTGCCCGGGGGGGTGGGGTCACAGGGGGGCTGTTGCCCATCTACCCCCCATCCCGCCCCCTTGACCGTGGC